GAAGAAATTAGATAAGGAATTTTGAATCTGATTTTTTTTTTTTTTTATAGATAGACTTTACGTACAAATTTTAACTTCACTGATTTTATGGGATTTATTTTGACAAAATCGATGTTAATATGGAATAAGACAAATAAATAAAGTCTTTTTATTTTAGTAAAGATTTTACGTCTTTTTTTTTTACTTGTCATATGTTATGAGATTTTTTTTCTTAAACTGATTTTATGGGATATAAGACAAATAAATAAAATAATTAAATAAAATTATGGATAGAAATAACAATGCATTAATTACGTTGACTTTTCAATATAGTAAATTTGGTAAATAGGATACCTTATATAATAAGTATAGATACAAATAAATAACATGCCAAAATTTAAAGAATATTTAATGTATTTTAATTTATTATCTAGCCATCAATAATATCATTTAATGATGTGATCATTATCTCTTAAATGATAAATAAAAAATTAATTTAAAAAAATATTTGTTTTTTATATACTCAAATAGGCAAATATGAATTATAATATATATCAGTAAAATCATTGTAGAAGTTAATAAAATTATTTAAGGAAAGAATCTTTTTGATCATATTTGAATATGAAATGTATATATGCAAGCAATTAATGCATATAGTAAAAAAAATTTAAATAAAGTATGCATTAAATGTGAGTTGACTTTTTTTGCTACTATTTTTGGTAAGTAGTATGACTTTTAATATAAGTATAGATTATTTTACATGCTAGAGTCCCTATCATGCTCATATTTAATATTCTCACTAAAAATACAATGCCGATTAAAAGAGGAGGAAAATTAAGTTACAACCCTAATTTTTTTAGACTTAGTGCTAATTAAAGTTGAAAGTACATATTGTTTTTTAGACTTAAACAGACAAAGTATGTGAAAATAACTTAAATCATTTAATAAGTACTAGTTATTATTATTATTATTATTATTATTATTATTATTATTATTATTATTATTATTATAATTGTAATTGTAATTGAAAATGTTAGTTCTGGATTATTCTAGAGC